GCTTTTCCAATTCGAACCAAAATCAGGATCTAAAGGATATAGCTCTTTTAATATTTCAAAGCCAGTCACTTTTAGCCATAAGTTTTGTAATAGTATGTACCTTCGGCTAAATGCATACGCTACTTGATTACAACGACCAGATTTGTGTTTCAAGATGTAATTGAAGTCAGACATGTACTTTACCCAAGTAGCATGTCTTGTCGACCATTCAATTTCTTTTGCACATTCAGGTATTGGAGGGCCTCATGGTCTAAAAACAAAATAAACTTTTTTTTCCAATAAGTAGTGATCCCAATGTTTCAGTGCCCTTACCACGACATAGAATTTCTTGTTATAAAAAGAGTACTTTAGTCGTGTCTCGTTAATTTTTTTGCTAAAGACGGCTATGGGGTTGCCTTTTTAACTAAGAACAGCTCTAATGCCTAGATGGGAAGCATCATACTCTACTTTGAACACTTCTCCAAAATTCAATAATGCTAGATTAGGGGCCATGGAAATGGACAGCTGAAGTTATTCAAAGATGACTTGGGCTACTTGAGTCAAGCGGAACCTATTAGTCTTGAGTAGCTTAGTAATGGGAGATGGCAACATACTGAAATTTTTGATGAACCATCAGTAAAAAAGGCTAGTCCTTGGAAGCATCAAACTTTGATGAATAAATTGGGAACGGGCCATTGAACGATGACTTCATTTTTAGTTAGGTCGGCTTTAATCCACACACCCAAAATAATAAAGACAAGAAATGAATTCCTTCTAGATAGATATTGATATTTTTGGGGGTTTACAAACAACATTTCTTCTCTGAGGATGTCAAAGACTTCTCTTATATGCTTACAGTGTTCTTCTAGTGTTCGGCTATATACTAAAATGTCATCAAAATAAACCACAACACACACACTTGCATAAGAGCGGTTGGAAGACTTGTCTCATGAGCCTCATGAATGTACTCGGAACATTGGATACACCAAAAGCCATGACACTCCATTTTTATAGTCCTTCCCTTATTTTGAATGCAATTTTCCATTCATTGCCATGCCACTTCGAATTTGATGATATCTACCTCTCAAATCAATATGGGAGAAGATTTTGACTCTTTGCAATTGAATATCATCAATGTGAGGAATAAAAAATATATAGTTTACCGTGATCTTATTAATAGAATGGCTATCTATACACATTATGAATGTGCCATTTTTCTTTGGCATGAGGAGGGCATGTACAACAATGCATATCCCTTTTGAGCAATTCACCATTCTTTAATAAATAGGGTCCTAGTTGCCATATTTTATTTATGGAATTCTCTTCCATCATGTTGGGTAATGGGACCAACATGAGTTTCTTCTTATTATGTGTGAATGAGTGCGTATTGGATGTGCTGCAATGTACGTACATTGTTGTGATCAAATTTTCATGGTTGTCTTAATAATAAGTGGAATGCATCCATGGGCACCACATCGCATAGCACCTGGTCTTCAGAGTGCCTTATGGAGAATTTCACAAGCACCTCTTATTTACGGGGATTCGTTTTCTTTTTGAATCCAATAAAATTTATACGGCCTAGGATAATCGGTAGTAGATGGTTGTAGTTTTTTTTATCATAGTGGTAGATATGACGTTCTCATAACTTCCGCTATTAATGATGACAAAGAAATCGTCCTCCCACGGTGCAACATGGCATGGAGATCTTGGGTCTTGTTCAAAATGTATGCCTATGTTGTCTATCGTATGGAGATCATCTTTAGCTGCAGTTATTGTCGTTCTACCTTGATACTGAGACTAACAACATCTCGAAAAGTCCAGTCCAGTTGCAATTGCATTATATTAGCAATGGAAGGATGTAATCCTCCCAAGAACTATGATATGCATGGTATGTTCTTCCAGCTCAGCTATATTGCATTTCATGGAATACTATTCAAAGGCAGCCATGTACTCCTCTACGGTCGAATGTTGTTGTTATAATTGTGTTAATTTTATAAACTAATCCTATTTGTGCTGATCAGGGATGTATTTTTGCTGTAATTTCTTCTTCATTTTAACCCATGCCACAATCTATCTTTGACCTTCTTGATTTATTATCCTATTTAAGTTTTCCCACCATAGGGAAGCATTTCTTGTTTGTTTAATGGCCACCAATTTAACTATGCGATCAGCTGGCACTTCTTTGAATTCATGAATGCGCTCAACAACGGTCTGTAACAAATTGATGAATTTGTTAGGGTCTATTCTTCCATCAAACTTTAGAAGGTCGACTTTGATTCCCCATTCCATGGATGCATGGTTTCTTCCCATATCCCCTACTATAGTCTCTAAAATCGGTCGTTGTTGTTGGCAACGAGGCGGCATTTATGTCGGCTCTGATACCAAATGATGCTGGTTTCCATCTGAATAGGTTGTGAATCGATCCTGCAACGAGGAAGGTCTTTAGAGACGACGACCTCAACCCTCTCTACACTTCAAGAGCCTATTCTTGAAGTCTCACTGCCTAATTAAACTCATGTTAGGATAAAGAACAAAAAACAAATATCTATAGTCAAAGCTCTAACATCATAGAGAGGTTAGTTGTTTTATTGATAGACAAATTTCAGCTTCATACAAGGCAATATAGTAGGATTTCCTAAGGATCTCTCTTTGATCGAATCCATATACGAACTACTTATACTAAGCAACATACAAAATAATGCCTCAAACTATATTAAAATACTTAATGAATATCGACTCCGATTCGATGTCAGTCATATATTTGAATCTGACTCATTTGAGAGTCTCCCCACTTTTAAATCCAAATCCCTTCTCATGCTATTGCATTATCATGGAAAAAAATTTTGTTTTCCCATCCCTTTCAAATAGTAATTTATTATTGTTAGTTAATTTTTAGAGTAAAAACTCTAGAGATTCTCAAACAAATGCACCAGCACAATAATTAATCTGATATTATTTTTCTTTTTGGAGAGCATCTTTTGTCTCTATTACCCACTTTCTTGATTAGATGGAAAAAAATTAAAGATCCATCCCTTTAGACAGTTTCCACTAAAGCTACAAGCATGACTTAGCTTACTGATTAAGTTATGTTAATTTATTTTAGCGAGTCATAATTGGTTAAATAGGTTACAGTTTCAACTGATGATCATATAAATATCCCACTTGAAAAAACTCAAATACAGTTCGACTAAATACCAAAAAACAGATAATGCATGTCGGATCAGTGTCAACAAAATAAACGTTGATAATCAATTTAATAATATATAGCATAAACATTATCTCTTTGGCAGCCAAAGTGCACGAGCCTTTACAACAAAAAGCCAGCAACTGCTAGCTATAATCCACTCTAAAGTGCAAATATTATACCAAATCAATCACTGCTGTACTTTTAACTGGATTTGTTCTTCCTGGATAAGAGTTTTCTGCAGCCTTTAATTATATATATAACAACTTATTTTGGGAGATTAAAAGCTAATTAAGGCATAGTTTGGGATGGCTTTATTTATGCTTCTTAAACTAGCTTTAAGAAGCAATAAGAAAGCCGTCCCAAACAAAACCTAAGTCATATTTTTACTCGAGAATCCAAATTAGATCGTGTGAATTTATAACTACTAATGATCTATTTGGGACAGCTTAATTTCTCATTGCTGTATTTTTTAGACCGTAAATACAATTCTTTTTGTCTAGCGATTCTCGCTACCGTAGTAAGGATGCAGCTTTTTACTGTCATAATTGCTAATATATGTTAGCTTTAAGAAAATAGTTGCCTCCCATTTATTAGGTCATTTCAAGTGCGTGGCACGCACCATGTAAGCCTTAAAAATATATTTTTTTAAAAAAATATATTTAAAAAATAAAAATAAAAATTGAAAGCCTCTACAGGATCAACATATTGGATCTTATTGTGAATAATTATCCGACCCCCTTCTCCTCTCTCTTATCTTGCTCCCCTCTAAATTCTATAATCAATTGTTCGAGGTGGCCCACATGTAAAGAATATATTATCCTGTTATTATCAAATGTCATTAACAAACGGAGACATCAAAGGTCAATTGTTTGCTTTCATAATGCATGAGATATTGTGAAAACAAATAAAAGTATGATAGAAGATTATTTTAAAGTAAATTTAATTAATATTTTTAAGGCATTGTCTCATGATGCATATATGTATTTATGTGAAACAAAGCCTAATTTTGAATAATTTTATAATTTTTTTCAATAGATTATTAATTGATTATATTTTATTAATTTTATGATGTTTTTATAAGTTTTATGCACATAAATATATGATTGAAGTAACTAATTAAGCAAATATAAAATATCCCAATTAACATTTGGTCAAAATGGATTTTAAAATTATAAAAAATTGAATTGAGATCGTTGCAATATTATACTTTTCATATGACATTAAATATTACATCTAAAGTTTGATTATTTACCAAAAATAATGTAATCCTTCATCCAACTTCTAAATCTCCACCTAAGAATTAAATTTCATGACAATTTTTTAAAACATTTTTTGAGTTTTTCAATAATTTGATCAAAATCAGGGGAGTTTTAAATTTATACATATATATTGAATAATTAAAAAATATGGCATTGATAGTAATTTAAAAATGAGAAAAAAATAAATTTAAATGTAAAAATAGAGCATATAACTACACTATATGTCTAGATTATGTGTTGATATGATATATAGGCTTTGTTTGGGATGGCTAAAGTAAATTTTTAGATAAAAAATAAAAAATAAAAAATTTTGTATTAAAAATTTATTTTAAGCAGTAATTTAAATGAATTTTTTTATATTGAAAGTGGTCCGCAATTTTATTATTCAGTTCAGCTAATGTGTGTGAGTTCGAGCTAAGGTTGACACAGAATTGAGTTAAAAATTTCCAACAACTCAACCACTACTCTATTGGCTATTGAAAAGGAGAAAAAAATTTCCAAATAATAAATGTGCAATCCATAGTAGAATGCAGCCCCCTATATAATCTTCCTCACCCCCACTCCCCTTTCCCCACAATAAACACAAGCCTAAACTTTTCTTCTTTCTTTCATTTTTTTCATATCCAAAGCAACCAGAACAACCATGCCGGAAGCATCCGACACCAGTACCCCTGAAGAGCACCGCCGCCTCCTCAGCTTCATCGAGGACGTAACCACCAACCCCGATGAAGCCCAGCACCGCGTACTCGCCGAAATTCTAGCCCAAAACTCTGCCGCCGAGTACCTCCACCGCCACGGCCTCACCGGCCCTTCCGCCGGTGATCCCGAAGCCTTTCGCCGCCTCATACCCATCGTCTCATATAACGAAATCCTACCAGATATCCTCCGCATCGCCCAAGGCGACACCTCCCCCATCCTCGCCGGCCGCCCCATCAGCGAGTTTCTCACCAGCTCCGGCACCTCCGGTGGCGAGCGGAAGCTCATGCCCACCATCGACGAGGAGCTTGATCGCCGCTCCTTCTTCTATAGTCTCCACATGCCCGTCATGTCCCAATTCGTTCCTAATTTGAACGCCGGAAAGGGAATGTACCTTCTGTTTGTAAAATCAGAAGCCCGAACACCGGGCGGGCTTTTGGCCCGTCCGGTCCTTACCAGCTATTACAAAAGCCGGCATTTCATCAATCGGGAACCCGACCCGTACAACGTGTACACGAGCCCAACGGAGGCAATCCTCTGCTTGGATTCTTACCAAAGCATGTACGCGCAGTTACTATGCGGGCTGGCGCAGAACGCCGAAGTGATGCGGGTGGGGGCTGTCTTCGCCTCCGGCTTCATCCGCGCAATTAAATTCCTTGAAAAGCATTGGCCGAGGATGTGTAGAGATATCCGTAACGGGACTCTAGACGAAGAGGTGACGGATCGGGCCGTTCGGGCCGCAGTGGAGAGAATTCTCAGGCCCGACCCGGCTCTGGCGGATCACATCGAAGCTGAGTGTAGCAAGGAGTCGTGGAAAGGGATTATTCGGAGGCTTTGGCCAAACACGAAATACATCGATGTTATTGTGACGGGCACCATGGCGCAGTATATTCCGACCTTGGATTTGTATGGAGATGGCCTCCCTCTCGCCTGCACCATGTACGCTTCTTCGGAGTGTTATTTTGGGCTCAATTTAAACCCGATGTGCAAGCCCAGTGAAGTTGCTTATACACTCATTCCCACCATGGGATACTTCGAGTTCCTACCTGTTTCTCTTGAAGGCTCCAGCAATCACAAACAAGACGACCTCGTCGAGCTCACTGATGTCAAGCTCGGCCATGAGTACGAGCTCGTCGTCACCACCTATGCCGGTAAGTCCATATAAATATATTTATATATAGATAGAGGGTACAAATTCAAGAAGTTTAGGGTTCATGAGATGAATCATGGATGATATGAGCCAAATGAGCTACAGAAGCCCAGCCAACTTATCATGTGGCTCGTAAACAACAAATTAGAGAGGGCGGGTTTAGAAAATATTTAAACTGGACTTCATCTTCATCCTTAATTATTTTATAAAATAGAAAAATTTAAAAAAAAAATGCTATATATAAATATATATAAGGCCACTTGTTATATATGTATGTATACATTTAACCATATTCGTTCGTTATCTACCTTTTTAAAAGCTCATGTAAAACGTTTACAAACACAAAACTCTCGCTCGGCTTTTCCATCAGAACTGTCGTATAAAGTTTTCAAGAATGTTATTGTATTAACAAAGACAAACGTACAGGTTTGTACCGGTATCGGGTGGGGGATGTGCTGAAGGTGAGTGGGTTCAAGAACAAGGCGCCACAGTTTAGCTTTGTGAAGCGGAAGAACGTAGCACTAAGCATAGACGCAGACAAGACAGATGAAGTGGAGCTTCACGCGGCTGTGGAGAAGGCGGTGAGACATTTGGAGCCGGTCGGAGCTTCGGTGGTGGAATACACCAGCTACGCTGACACGACGATGATACCGGGTCACTACGTTTTGTACTGGGAGCTGAGGAAGGGTAAGAAGGAAGTTCCTGGTTCAGTGTTCGAAGAGTGCTGTTTGGCGATAGAGGAATCATTGAACAGTGTGTACAGACAGGGTCGGGCCGCGGACGGGTCAATCGGAGCGTTGGAGATCAGGGTGGTGGAAGAAGGGAGCTTTGATAAGCTTATGGATTATGCTATCAGTCAAGGAGCGTCGATTAATCAGTACAAGGCCCCGAGATGCGTGCGACCAGGGCAGGTTGTGGAACTCCTGGAGGGGAGAGTGAAGGAGAGGTACTTTAGCCCAAGGTGCCCCAAGTGGAGTCCTGGAAATAACATGTGGATGGGGAAGAACAATGGTGCATGATTAATCACTGTTAATTTCAGTCCTGAAATGATGATTATTAGTACTAGCTGTTGTGCTTCTTTTGGTAACAACCAGGGGAGAAAAATCGGTTCTTTTTTCTCCCTTTTTTTTTTGTTTGTTGCGTTTCTTTTTAATTTCCTGTGTTTTTCATTTTAGTTATAGTTTAGTAATATATATGTTCATGTTGTTGCTAGCTAGCTAGGAAGTTGTTGCTGATCGTCCGGGCAATGTACAAAATGTTAATTTCTTCTATGATGGATGGATGGATGCCTCTTCTCTTATTTTAAATTTACTTGCTTTAATTTTATACTCCACGCTACCATTTCATGCCAGGAATTCTGGTCACCAAACCCTCATGATCATGAGAGATCATTCTCAGGACATCGGACACAACTTAATTATCGTCCAAAGACAAATTAGGTGCAGCCATGTCATTTAGTACCGTGCCATGGTACCGAGTAGGAGGTGATGTGACACATTTTTATTGGGCTCTGAAAGACGTTCGGTGTCCGCACATAATAATTCATCAATCATCCACAGCAATAGAACGATAAGCTTGAGAAAAAAAACCAACTTGCATGGGATTTCGTGAGCATTAATATACTCAAAATTTATTGTTTGATCTGATTTAATTTTATTCTAAGAAAAGGGTATTTGGTAGCTTTTATTGCTTTAAATTTGAACTATGTATATCACCAGTAAAGAGTGGTCCACTTCAATGCAATTGTAGCTTAGTTCGTTTAACCCGTTGTTGACTAATATTGGTAGTCAACCAATAAATTTGGCAGACAAGGTACTTCAACGATCAGACTGCTAGCTTATACAACACTGTTAATACGTCAAAATGTTAATGTAATTTTAATTCATCAACATTTTGATCAACGGAAATTATATGGGTTTTGTTGGAAAAAATAAGATAAAAACAAAGAACCTGCTCGTGCAAGAGAGAATTGTGTAGGGATTCTTTTTTTTTTTTTTTAATTCACATATTTCATGTATATTATAGATAGCTTTAAAAAAAAAACTTAAAAGCCAATAGATAACCTTTCACTAATACAAAATCATTTCAGTTTTCTAATAATACTTAAATATTAAAAATCACATTGCATTAATATCAAATACAACCCCTTAATGTAAAGTTCCTACACTAAGATTGGATCGAAATCTTTACTAAATACATCAACAACTTATTTCTGTAGATCATGCTAAAATGTAACAGTTCATTTTGCAACAACTTCTCTCACAAAATAATGTTAGAGTTCTATATATGTGGGTCTGAAAATTCGGCCTCGGCCTCTGCCCGCTTTTGCTTTTTCTTCTTCGGGGGAGTTTTAACGGATTTAGTTTCGGAGTAAATTTTGGAAGGCAAATGGGTTTATAGATAAGACCCTACCCAGAGATTTCGCCCTCATTTTGCGAGGACTTTATGATCTGAGTTTTGGTTTCCTATAGATGCAAACCCCTATAGTTAATTACCCCTCCCAATCATGAGAGAGAACTTTCGATTAAGGCTAATCATCGATCAAATACGTATAGAGATACGTGTTAGCTGGCATATAGTAGCAGTATAGGTTGGGATTTGAAGAGCTTGGAAATAGTTGTGAATTTGAAAGTTTCATATTTAAAATTAGAGATTTCACCATCTTGCACTTAAAGTGGATGGTGGGGAAATGGATGATATGCTCGATCAAGATCCCATGATTCTATCATCTCGGGCCATCATGGTCCCTAGTCTACTTAGTCAGAGGAGGTAGTCAACCCAATCTGATAGAAGGAATCTTGTCGGCAGCCATGGGTTGCTTCGTCCAAGGGGACCTTATAGACCTAGTGTGAGTATTTGTCTAAGGGGATAAATTTGAACCTACCTTGGCTAACATAGAGCTTTGTGCCCTATCAATCATATCATATTGATTCATATCTCAAGGATTTGACGTCATTAAGGAATATATTGGCTCTGATCATAACTGATATTTCGTTGTGCCATTTAGCGGCAAAATCACTCGGTTCAGTGAGCCCCGGGTCATAACTGTTTATCATGCGGTGCCATTTAGTAGCAAAATCGTCAGTCAGAGGATACGTACCACATCCTTATTGGTAGGAGATTGTTTGAGAATAGATCTTATTGATATTTTCGACTAGGCATTAGCTCTATGTAAGCTAAAGTATATTTCAATTTATCCACCCCGATAAATTATTGTTGAGGGTGGATGGATTTTACTTTAAGTGTTGATGGATTATTTCAATTTTAAATATTTTGGATGTTGGATTATCTATATAATTTTAGATTTTCGGGTATTTGAGTGGCATTTAAAAATATTTGTGAACCCCTCTTGTTGAGATCTACGTTCAACACGGCCATCATCGGGGTGACGTTAAAGTAACTTATATTTTTATAAAAATTTAAATTTTGTAAGAGTTTGTTGGAGGCATTTGAAATTATTTGTGAACCCCTCCGATTGAGATAAACATTCAACATGGCCACCATCGAGGAGTTTGGTGGGTTATTTCTCTTTGTTGATTGAACCATGTCAACCTTATTAACCTACAGAAAGAAGATCATGTTTCGTAGACTTTGTGATTTTGTTTGTGAATTTTCTTTATTGAAGGCCTTGAAGGTCTAATATGAATGTATTAAATAAATATCTTGGTCGACCTGACGACCATATATTTATTTAATGACTCGAGCCATGTCGACTCGTATCTACCTGTATAGAAGGATTGAGCTCAAACTTAGGTTCATTTATTGTCCTGCGTAGCATCCCTAGACCTCACGTGTGTTCCCATAACACGCTCGCTGGGGGCCTGTGCGGATGTTTGGGGGCATTTTATAATTAAACCCCATGTCGACTCTTTTTTACCTTCTTAGAAGGATAATGTTCAAATTTATGGACCTGTGCAGCATCCCTTGACATCAAGTGTGTACTAATAACATGCTCGTTGGGGCCCATGCGGGTGTATGGTTACACGTGCATTTCAGTGTACCTATATGCATACATATTACGATGCACGTGTGGGGTATATTTTGAGATATTTTAGTTATGCAAGTAACTGCCATTTGAGTGTATCCAATATTTCATTTCAAAACTTATATGCGCCTTCTGTCTATTAATATGAGTGTTGTGAATTTGGTGGCGTGGTATAGCAGCTTCTAAATTAAGTTGTTCGCTACTTTATACAGGTAGACTGTAGTGCACTACTTGTATAATTTATATTGGTATATTGTAGTGCACTAACGAATCTTCTACTTTTGATTGTAGATGCTTGTAAGTGACATATTGTATACAAAATGAGTTTTTCATAGTCATGACTTGTAGGTATTTGCACTTGTTATAGTCATTTGGTACTTTATTCATGAATGACATTTCGAGTATATAGTGGGTCTTCCTTAAGGGTTCGTAGACACTTACATTTATTGCATATCAGTCGACACTTGCTTGTAATTGATTAATTTATTTGCTCAACATTTAATTGTGACTGGTCATAAAGGCGTCGTATCATTTATTGCCCTCTATTATGACAGCTTGCAGGTGTGTAAATGTTTTGTATATTTATAGCAGATATACAGTCTTTGCTTATCATTACTTTGCATAATTCGATGTGCCTGTAAGTTAATATTGACTGCAAATCTTTTGACATTGCCCATAAGCATTCGCATTTGCCATCTCCCCATTGCATTTGCTCATGGGCAGCATCTAATATACGAAGCAAATTTTCTTACAACAACCCACAGATGTTTGTAACTGATGTGTATCGTCGTTCCATGGTATTTGATGTAGTTATTTTGCCTCTTATTCGTAATCTTTGATCTTTGTTGGTGAGTGATATATCGCACATTCATGATTATCCTTATCAATTATGTTGCTTGTAAGCTTGGGTACATTTGTTTGCATCTCGATGTTGATTGTGAAGGTGCCACCATAGTCATTATACATTACATGCTAAATCCTTATAGTAGCATTTGATTGTAGGATAAATATAGATATCACTTGCTCTCATTTAATTGCAAGTTAATTTGGTTGGACACTTCGAACCATCTAAACTTCATCGTTCACCACTCATATACATTGAGACTTGTTCATTAGGAGTCCCTTACTTGTATATTCACATTTGATTTCAATAATCATAGTCATCATTTAATACTTGTATTATGATTTCACATCATAAAGTTTAGAGCCATATTCTTTGTTTGTTATTCTGAATTTTGTTCCTCGTTGTCTATGCTAGTTCAAACACCTCCACTTTGTTCAAATCGAGTCCTCTGTTGTTCATTTAAGTTCAAGTCTTATGCGAGTCTCCTGTGGTCCAACTCAAACCTCTGCTTGAGTTTAAATATGTTCAAGTTCAAATCAAATTTGAGTCCTTGTTGAAGTTCATATTCATTTAAATTTTAGTTCATTTAAGTCGATTGTATCAAGTCCATAAGTCCCATTTTTTGGTCAAGTCCTTGTTTTATTTTAGAAAAAATTTTGGCAGCCACCCGGCGTCTCCCGTGTTTAGGGAAAAAATCAAGAGGCAGCCTACCCACCACGTCAAAAAAGACGTGCATGATTGATGTTGTGAGACACAGCGGCCATAGTTTTTTTATCATCCACTATGCCAAGAAATGCATGCATGGGTCTTTAAAAGCAGATATTTGAATTAAAAAGCAATTCTTTTCTTGCGTATGCGTACTCTTTTTTTGCCCCGCCATGCTAGGAAAAGCACGACATGGATTGCCTGCCTCACCGTAGGTTTCTCATCGAGTTTCCTTCCGCCACGCTAAGAAAAGTGTGCACATGGGGTCCCTCTGAGCGCTACAAAAGTCAAAAATAGGACTTTTGGAGGGGATTACTTACCTCGCCACAAACACCATGACGAATTTCCTTCCACCGTGCTAAAAAAAGCTAACATAGGTGATTGTTCGCCATGTTGCAAGTGCTGTTGCAAGTGCTGAGATGGATTTTCCCAAGTTTAATATGTTATACCTTGGCGAGGGGTCATCGGTAGAGATGGCACGCAAATTAAGGTAAGAGAAGGCATGACTCTCTTCTTTTTTTTATTAATTATAATTAACCATAAATAATTATAGTTAATTATAATTAATTATAACTAATAATAACTAATTATAGTTAATTATAATTAATTATATTTTTTATAAATTTAATAACTAATAATAATTAGATATAATTAATAATAATCAATAAATAATTATGATTAATTAGATTTAAATATAACTAATAATAATTAATTATTATTAATGACATTAATTATAATTAATGGTAATTAATCATAATTAACTATTTTAATAA